CCGCTTCTCAGGGCCGAGAGTTCTTTCCGGGCACTAGCCCCTCTCGGTTGCCAGGTTTAAATAAATGGACTCAAATCTGGCTCAGACTGTGGCATATCTCTATAGTTCCAACTCACTCAGGTAGAACAGAATAAGTCTGAATATCTTTTCCCTTCCTCAAAAGCTATCTTGGGTTTTCCCCCTTTTTTGAACTATTCGATTATAGTTTTTGCTTATTCTCAAAGGCACTGTTTTACTAATTAATTACACCCCATTCCCAAGTGGACAGGATCTGTATTGCCAGGCAGCTCAGGGAGGAAAAAGACAGCACAGAAAGCACAGTAACCGCGCCGGCAGCCAGGAGAAAATGACACAGCCCTCAGCCTCCCCGTCCTTACCCCGACTGGTCATAGTCTTACTTCTCTTGTGTGTAGACAACACCTTTTATTTTGGGTTCTGAAGACTAAACCTAGGGCCTTTGCACTGAGCTAAATCCTGGCCATTCATTTGTTCATTTGTTTGTTTGTTTGTTTGTATGTTGAGACAGTCTTGCTAGGCTGCTGAGTTGCCCAGGCTGGGCTCAAACTTGCAATCCTCCTGCCTCAGCCTCCCAGAGTGCTGGGATCACAGGCAAATGCCACCATTCCTGGCACAGACAGCACTTTTAAGAATCAAACAAAGACAAGTGTGATGGTGCATTCTTTGATCTGTGCACTCTGGGAGGCTGAGGCAGGAGGACTGCAAGCTCAGCCCAGCCTGAGCAACTCAGCAACTTGGTGACACCCTCCCTCAAGATCAAATATAAAATAAAGCATGGTCCCTCTCACATGAGAAACCCAGAGTGTGAGTAAGTTAATCAGCAAAATAAAAGATAAACTGGGGCCAGGGATTTAGCTCAGTGGTTCTGCTGCAAGCATGAGGTCCCGAGTTTGATCCCCAGTACCAACAATTTAAAAATAACTAAAAATAAAAATAAAAGATAGAAAATAGGAAACAGGGGGACAGATCTTTTGCAAGAGATGGAGGGAGTGGGGAGGCAGGAGAGGGAAGGGGAAGTCAGATTTAAGATGTGTTATGTATGGGTACTAACTCTACACAAGGAACATAATCTTGTACAGTGGACCCTTGACTTACGAATTCGATTCGTTCCCGTGGGCTGACTGTAACTCAAGTTGGCCAGCTGCCTTCAAAGTCTCTCCTCTGTATCATTTCAGGCCATACTTTCTTCCAGGCAGATCCCAGTATCCTTAGAGAGTCTTCAGCACAGGATTGCTCAGCTAACCCACACAGGAAAGGATGCTGCCATGCTCCTTCCAGAACTCTTTAGTGTTAAATCTATCTGAGACTGTCTGGAAGCACAAGCAGCTGGCATTCAGGTCATAACTCAAGACTGTTCATAAGTTAAAAACTAAAATTCTGGTCAGAACCCAAATTGTTTGTATGTCAGGTAACTCGAGGGTCCACTCTACTGCAAACATGTACTAATAACAAATAAATTACTTTGAGGCTCAAGGGGGGAAAGATATTTTAAAAATTAAGAAAGAAATTTGCATCATATCTTTTCCTCCTACAACCACCTTGAAGGAAAAAATCACCAGCATTTAGTGTGATCTGGCGAGATGCCCAGGCAACCACCTGCCCTGCAGGAGACATCGGCAAGTGAGAGCCCATGCTGGAGTTCAAGGACTCACAGGCCAGCCACTGCAGGCGTCCAGGTGGAGGAAAGTTCTCGCAACAGAAGCAAGAAGCCTGAGCCACACAGCGACAGCGGAGGGAGGGCCAGCAGCCAGCCTTTCCTGTAGACATACATTTCCTACCCTGACCTTATGCTTCTTAGGGCTGCCCTTGGTGCAACCTCAGGAAATGACCAATATTTATAGATTCTTTTTCCTCAAGAAGAGGTAACTTCCTGTGGTTGCACCTGACAGGAAGTCAGGGGGAGACTATAACCAGGTAGCACAGGGTGACCAGGGAGCCTTCCCGGAATGCTTCCCCCACCACTCACCCTGCGAACTCGCACACACCCAGGCAGTGCGGGCCGGGCAACAGGCGAGGGAGTCACAGCTCGTGGGAGGCTGTGGCTGGCATAACCCAGCAGACTGCATAAGGAGCACACTCTAGAATAACCATAAAAACATGATAACTACATGATCACAACTACATAAGCCGGTGACATAACCGCCTGTTATCATTACCAAGGATGACAACTGCTCAGAACTGTCCGCACTGTATTTTTATGGACCAGCCAGAGCAGCAGGCTTGCTCATGCCAGTAGCCCCACAAACACAGGAGTGATGTGCAGCACTGTGGCTTTATGACGGCCACACTGCCACAGGGCGGTAGGACATTCTCAGCTACGTTGTAGCCTTGTGAGACCACCACGGTCCACGTGGTCCTTCACCGGCTGGAGCTGTCGGTGCCACGTGACTATAATTCATGGCATGGGTCACTCCAGCAGTAAAGACGATATTGCTCACATATGCCAAGGAACGGCAGCAAGTGTCTCCCTGCTCTGTGGGACATTAGACTGCGTGTCTAAGCACCAGAACCAATTTTCATAAAACTAAATGGCAGTGGCCAACTGCTGGAATAAATCACCCTGGTACAGTGCCGTAAAGTCAGGTCTATCAATGCAAAACCAAGACTGCACCTGCTCTGCAGCCATGTTAAATAAGGGCTAAAGGAGTTTTTGTGGTTCTCATCCAATGCCCCCAAGTCTCCTGTCTGTGGATGGTGACCAGATGGGGGCACTACACATCCGTGGTTCATCCACCGAGGCTGCATTATGTCCCCGGGCCTCCCTTCCCTCTCTGCTTGCTGGCTGTGTAGCGTGAACACCTTTTTCTTCACCCAGGCCCTCCCACCCTGCCAGTTCTGCCTTGGAGCAGCCGACCAGGGACAGAAACCATGAGCCAAATAAACCTCCCCTCCTTTAAGTCATGAGTGTCCAGCATTTTGCACCGGCCACAAGAAAGTGACGAAAGCAGCACCCACTTTTGTTCCTGTCTATGCGATCCGACAAGGGTCTCAGCAAGCACCAGAGAAATCTTTGCTCAGCGGCCTGGACTTCTCGTTATTCTCAGGCCATACCTTTAGGGTGTGTCCCTCCGGGCACCACTGCCCAGGTCCCGTGGGGAGCTGAAGGGCTCCCCACCCCTGCCTTCCCCAGAAACTGTCTCTCATCGTACCTAAGCTGTTTCTTCAGCTGGGCACTCTCCTCCCTCCCGCAAGGTGAGCTCTTCCAAAGCAGACTGACTTGCTGATTGCTGTACCCAGAAAAACAGCACAGTTGACGACCTGTACAGATACGCTTTTTTTTTTAATTTTGTGACACAGAGTCTCACTATGCAGTTCAACCTGGCCTTGAACGCACTACGCAACCCAGGCTGGCCTAGAACTCTTGGCAATCCTCCTGCCTCAGCCTCCCAAGTGCTGGGATTTCAGGCGTGCGCCACTATGCCCAGCCAAATATGCTATTAATGATAATATTAACATAATAATATTGGCATATATTATATAACTATGAAAAAGAAACTCATAGCCTCTCAGATTTTTACATTTAAGATGAAACGGTGATATAGAGCTATTTTCTATAAATCTATCCAGGATTGTGACAAGTCCGCTGCACCAAGGGACCATATCATGTCAGCTTCGGCTGCACTGCAGGCCTGGTGTCTGTCCCCAGATGGTCATGGAGTGGTGAACTCAAACTACCGCTCCCTTGAGACAAAAGGCCTAATGCAGGGAGGCTGCAATCCAACATCCAGATGATCATCTGTCTGTTGTAAGAGTCTAGATTTTTGACAATACTTCTCCAAAAGTCCATTTTCAAGACTTAAAAATGGGCCGGGGATTTAGCTCAGTGGTTTCACCCCCTGCTGCGCAAGCACAAGGACCTGAGTTCGATCCCCGGCATAAAAAATAAAAGACTTAAAAATAAAATGTTAAAACCACAATTCAGAATGGGGTAAGTGCAGTCCCGAGCTAAGCCGCAAGGTGAGGAAGCTCTCGGGAAACTTGCTGTGTCCTCACACAGCAATCGGAAGGGCAGGAAATGGGGAACTTACAAAAGTGAATTTGATCAAAAACAACCTAGCTCGTTTGATGACCACATGGCATTTAAGATTTTAAATCGCTAATGCTACCTGAAGCTTGGAAACTTATCATTAACAGGATGGGTTTAACAGTAAGGTCAAAAGGACCCCACATCTGTGGTGAAATGCCCCCTCTCAAGGTACCTGCAGGCTGGCAGGAGATAAGAAAAGACCCGGAAAATACAACAAAATCATTTAAAAAGACACCAGACAAGAAAATTCTACAGCACAGTGAGATGTTTAAAAAGCAACTACAGCCGGGGATTTAGCTCAGTGGTTACGCCGCCCGTCTCACAAGTGCAAGGACCCAAGTTCAATCCCCGGTACGAAAAAAAAAAAAATGCAACTACAAATACTAATAATAACAGATCCTGTAGGAAACAGATTCGAGAAGTTAACGGAATATAGGCAGAAGCTTGCAATGTGCAAATTTGTCCTAGAGAAATTCTTCCAGGCTCTTCATATAAACTGCTCCTCCACAGGGCTGGGTAAAGCCTCACAATCAATTGGGGAAAAATCACAAGACAAAATGCTCACTTCCTACATCAATTGCACGCCTTCCCTGCCTCTTTCCTAGGCACCAGATGCAGGGGGCGGAGCACCTTGGCTGTGTTCTCTCCACCTTCCTGGGACCAGGTCGCTCTGCCCAGCCTGGAGCTCTCCTCCTCTCGAGCCGTCCTCCACCTTCAGTGGAACAGTTCTGAGCTCACTGCTCCGGTGATGCTAGTAACAGCCCTGCCTCCACTGTCCTTTATGCAAAGGGCTCAACACATCCACAGTAACAAGTCACCAGAAAAATGAGTTTTAATCAACATAAGAAAATGTCATGTAACCCAAGAGATATAAGAATTAGTTAAACACTTCAGAAGACTTCATCTTGGTATTGTATATGTATGACCTGTAAGATTCTCATTTGTTTCCACTTACCTTTTGAATGACCTTATTGATTGCCGGGATGTCTGGTGCATAGAGTATCTGTCCATGTAATATGGGCTTTAAGAAGGACCACACCAACGCGCCGTTGGGAGACTGTAGAATTTCCTGATAAAGCTTCAAGCAAAATGGCGCTGTCATAATTAAGAGAGAGAGAGAGAGAGAGAGAAACCGTTACTTAATACTGGATGACACAGTAGGGCCAGGTGACAGAAATCTTATCACACACCCACAGTGCCCTCGTTTCCAACAAATGGTTTATACGTTTGTGGGCATGGCTGCTGTGACCCAACTCTCAACTTGGGAGCAAACCCAGAATGTTTTCCGTGTCCCTCGCTTGCGCAGCACTTGTCTCCTCAGAAACTTCGGGGCACTGCGTTCGCTTCAGTGACTGGCAAAAAAGGACAGCAGGATGCTCCCCTCTCAAACTATGTTGCTCATGACGTAATGACACAAACACTAGGAAATCAAAATGCTAATTACTAAGAAAATAAATCTAGGGGCCCGGGGTTTAGCTCAGTGGTTCCAACGCCTGCCCCACAAGCGCAAGGTCCTGAATTCGATCCCCAGTACCAGGAAAAAAAAAGAAAAGAAATCTGCTTTTTAATCGAGAAAATTCTCATTTCAATACCCGCATATGGAGAGCAGAATTCAATTTTCTCATGGAGTCCATTCTACAAGTTGCTCCCAGATTTTCTTTGCAGCCTTTAAGCAGAACTATCAAACTTGTCACTGTGGGCACATCAGATCACCTTGTTTTCACCCAAAGAATTCTTCACAGTGGCTCTCATTAATTGGTATCAATTAAAAGTTTTCTTAAATAGTCTAAATCAGTGATGGCGAACCTAAGGCACACGTGCCCCAGCAGGCTATTTCTGGCACCGTTGATCTGAACGAGTAAGTAATTCGTCACCATAGTGATTGACAATTAAATATTATAAGACTCACAAGGTTCTGAACAAACATGAATGCATCAGTGCAAATGGTCCTTTCACCCACAAAGAAAACATTTAAGATGGAAATACTATCTCAGCCTTAAGATCATGACTCATAAGAGCCAATGGATGAGGGGTACTGTTTTGATCATTTGTGTTCATTTCTTCTTCCCCAATTCTCCACTTGAAAAGAAAAAATTGAGTCGTGCAGAACACACCGAATCAGCCCGCTGCAGACAGGCAGGTCTGCGCACACCCTACGGAGGTCCCGAGTCACACAGAACACGCCGAACCAGCCCGCGCCCCTCAACAATCCACTGGACACACCACACCCCCCGCCCCGCTCCTCGGTACAGCCACCTGGTTCCACACTACAAAGACACAGAGGACATCGGACCACCAGACCACTGTACTGAATCCCACTGCTCCTGGCCCAGAGGCAGGGGCTTCTGAGCTGCCGTCCCACTGCTCCTGGTCCAGAGGAAGGGGCTTCCCGGCTACCATCCCTCCCGCTGCTCCCAGCCCACAGGAAAGGGCTTTTGGGCCACCATCCCTACCCCTGCTCCCTGCCCCTGGCCCACCTCTCCCAGCTCAGACGAGGTAATCCGTGCAGACGCCAACAGCCCCCCGCCTCCAGTCGAAATGAGAAAACACGTAAATAAGTCTCAAAACCAGACTTCCAGATCACCTACAACAAGCCCAAAGGGAAATGAGATGGAACACTCAGATACTCAACCACCTGGACCCACTGAACTGGCAACAAAAGGGGATCTGGAAAAAATGAAATCAGAAATAATTTCTCAGATAACAGGAGAAATTGTGCCCCTAGTGCAAGACATGATTAATAAATCTAGAGAGGAGCTGAGGAACATGATGGAATCCCAACATAGGAAACAAATGGAATCCATAAAACAGATGCAAATAGATTTCCAGGAGATGAAAAACTCCATTGAAAGTCTACACAGCAGAATGAGCCAATGTGAGGACAGAATTTCAGATATAGAAGATAAGATTGCAATTAATGACCAGGAAAAGAAAAATTGCTTCAAAATTATAAGGGAACATGAGAAATCAATCCAGCAGCTGCTAGATGATGCAAAGAAGAATAACATAAGACTGATCAGAGTCTATAAACAGGAGAGAGTGAAAATGACATTAAAAAAAAAACTGTTCACAGAAATAATGGCAGTAAACTTCCACAGCAGGGGAAAAGAGCTTGACACACAGATAAATGAGGCATATAGGACTCCAAATAGCCTTTATTGAAAAGAAAAAAATTATTCCAAACACAGTAAGTGGATAGAAACAATACTCTACAATATAAATTTAGAACATGACTACAACTTTAAATTTTTATGTAGCATTTTACTAAGATATTTATTCTAAAATTGCATTACACTTGTATATAAAGATACAGTTGCCTAAAAAATTATAAGCAGGATTTATTTCAAAGTCTCTGAAGTATGTGAAGTAGAAATAGTCTTTTCCGTCTCCCCAAAGCTGTAACTGCTATCACTCTCTGCTAGGCTTCTCCTTTTGAAGAGCAGCATTTGTGTCCACCAGAGCTCCCATGTCTGCCCGCAGCGCTTCCCACTGCTGCTCCTCGGCCAGAGGGAATCGAGGCTTTTAGTGACCAGCGGGTAAGAGACTGCATCTGTTGTCACTTATGGCACTCAGAAGGTGCTATGGCCTTTCCTGCAGCCTCTGTGCTTTCCTTGATGTTTTAGTACTTGATGTTCTAGCTAAGGAGCTGTCCCATGATTACTCAGTTCCCTTTGCTTGTGGGTGGTTTGTATTTTTGTGTATGCTTCTCTTCATTCTGTTCATCTTCGCATGTTTGGCTTTCAATCATGTCACTCTGTGAAGAAGCAAGCATCTTGCCAATTTTTCTGATACTTTTGTAATAGTTTCCAAAATTCTGTAATCTTAAGTTTTCCAGTCTTATCTGTTCATATATTTCATTCCATGTTTCACCAATTTTAAAACAAGGTATCTATGCATGCTCCAGAGGGTGACAAAATCTTCAGCAGACAGTCCAGGTAAGGTTTCACACTCTAGTTTGCCCAACACAGCATAAATGTTTGCGCTGATATTCGCCGCAACATCCATACTGCAGTAGAGGGGCAGTTAGCAGGCAGCCGCGTGGTTTTTCCCTCTTGTTGAAAACTAGCAAACAGAAGCTTCTTTGTGTCAGTGATCTCCCTGTATTTATCATTCTTTACTCCTAGTTCTTTTTCTTCTTTTCTCCACAATTCAACTAACAGACTAGAAGCTATCTGATCCTTCCTGCCTCACCAAGCACTGACATGAGCAGCAGTTTTGGGATTATCACAAAATTGAACCATTATTCCAAACATCAGAGTGCAGAATTGGGGGGTGGGGGTAGTTAAAGCCAAATTATCCAAAAGGAGAAAAATGCCTTCCTTTTCAAGAAAGTAGTCTTCTGAAGGAGAGTATCCCCAAACGCAGCACCAAATGCTCTCCCGTGTACTAAAAAGAAGTATGTTATAGCTAAGCCACTCTGTAACTTCTCCGGTCTGTTCTATTACATGACGAATTATATCTACTCCTTCAGTTCCAAAAATGTCCTTCCTTTGAGAATGATGCTGACAAAGACCAGCTAAGATGAGTAATGTACCAGACTGGATTTCTAAGGCAGTGTTTTCTTTTCCATTAGGGTGGCCTCTGATATTTGTAAAGACTCCTATCAGTTGCCGGACTGCTACCTTTTCAGAAAGATCTCCCATCTCCAAGGTGGACCATGGCTCTCAGGACCCGTGAAGTGTAACACATCCGAGCGAACTGTTACCGAGACTAAAGACAGGATCGCCACTCTCACACCACTCCGACACGCCAGGACTCTGACGTCTCCAGGCCATGACAGGGACTCTCCTGTTTGACAACAAAGTCGCAACTGCTGCAGTTGTAATTCTTCATATTGTGCCGCAGACCATTGCATTACTTTGTGTTTCTCGGGCCTTTTAACACAGGTAAGTAAAGCCAAAACGACTCAGCTATCAATTATAGCTGTACAGTAGGCAAATCTTTGCATAGAGCACAGTGATACTGGACAGTAATTTCTTCAACTCAAAATCTTCACAGGAATTAGAAAGCTTAAGACCGCTTACCAAAGGGTTTGACTCTTCATTAAAAGCTGCAAATAGGATCAAATCTCTCATGAAGCCACATTCAATTATTGGTGGTCCCAGGTTTTGAGCTATAATTGTAGTCATTACTAATATATCATTTCTAAGCTGGCTATCGTAATTACTAAATCCTCTCATAAAGAGATTTTCAAATACTGCTTCAGAGTCCTGCATCTCTTCATCCTCAGTGCCCACAGCAATCACAAGAATGTGGTGGGGGCTGCCAGACTTATTCCTACTGCTGGGGTCCTAGCCCTGGTCCATCGCCCAGACCTCCCCAGTGGGCATAGCAGTGGGGTTAAGGCTGCCACCAAATAGGAAAGGCAGCCAGAGAGCCACTAGTGTTGCAAGAGGCCTGAGAGGTCTGGCTGTGGCCTCGGCCACCACAGCCCACCCCAGCACTGAGGTGCAGGATCTCGGCCAGTTGTCAACACCGTGACTACGTTTTTGAAGCATTGATTATAGAGGATGCTCCATATTCTAACACTTATTCTTTCAGTTGCAAGCTTACTACAGACAATAGAAATATGTATTTTAGAAAAGACATAATCATGGTATGTACAGAACAAGAAATGTGAAGCCAGGAATCTGCATGTCTGCCTTTCGTGAACCAAGTGAACCTGGGCAAGTGATGTAACATTCTCTGATCTTCCAACATGACTGGAAAGCGAGGGGCTGGTACTGTCTGATGGTTTCTGTGAAAAACAAGTGAAATAAATGTATGAAAGGACCAACAAAGATCAGTCCTCAGTGTTAGCTGAGTGACTAGATAGGTGGGTGGATGGATGGATGAGGATTGATGGATGGGGATGGACGGATGGAAATGGATGGATGGATGGATGGGGACGGATGGATGGAAACGGATGGATGGGGATGGATGAGTGGAAATGGATGGATGAATGGATGGATAGGGATGGACGGATGCAAGGATGGGTGACTGGATTAGAAGAGCAATCAATCGTGCTCAAGAATCTCAAATGCAAAATAAAATGGTGACTAAAGAAACAACAACAAAACTACTCAATATGAATAACCTCAATAATTATCTATGTTACCAAACTACCCAATAACTGTCAGCTATACAAATTAGCCATTAGCTGAGAAAGATGCTGATCTACCACCTCTACAGAAGGACACCGTGTCTGATTCCACTTCTATACCTCCAACCTACATAATCCCAGGCCCCTTGTCCCAATCACATCTACACTTCTATCCTCAGTTCCACTGTTGGCACAAAGCAGGCGAAGTTGTGTCCTGGATATAGTAGGCAGAGTTTTAAGGTGAGTCCAGGCCTCGTGTATTCTGTGTTTGAGAAAAGACAGAGCCCATGACTGTGGCACATGCCACACCCAGGATCAGATCTCACAGCCAAGGAGAAGGAATTATGGAAATGTCCCTTAGTCTGTTGACTTGGGAGCTTACCTAAGGACTGAACAATCAGCGATCATGGCTGAGCAGTCATGTAAACCCTTTAGAAGAGACTGGAAGCCACAAAGTCATAGAGATGCCCCTCCTGGACTTGACACGGTCTCCAGGAGTTCTAGAGCAGCAAGAAAAAGACTCCTACCAGCAGCACTACAGAGCCTCAGATGAGAGCCCAGCCACCCAACCAATGCCTCATCACAACTGTTTGAGAGCCAACCAGAAGGGCAGCTGGCCAGTGCCTGGAGGCTGTCCTGCAGGAGCCATGAGATGGTGACTGCACATTGTCTTCAGCCACTAAATGAGTGGGGATGTGTTATGCAGCAAGGGATGCGATTAAGCCACTGTGTAAAGCAGCTAAGGCACAGCCTCTCCATTACTCTTCATGACAACCTTGTGAGGTAGGGATTGCTTCCATGTTATAGATGGGAATAACATGATTCAGAGACAAAACAATAGGAACAAAGAGGCATTACTTGTTATACACTGGGGAGGTGAATGCTCTGGACCCAAAGCCCTTGCTTCCGTGTTTAGTGTGACTTTCTAACGAAATGGTTTTGCTGAACTGGGGATATGTCTCAGTACAGATCACCTGCCTGGCAGGTGGGAGACCTGGGGTTCCATCCCTAGTACCATGGTAGATAAAGGATGGATGGATGCATGCATGCATGATGGATGGATGGATAGATGGATGGACAGATAGATAATAAATGGATGGATGAATAATAGACAGATGATGGATGGGTGGGGGATAGATGACAGAAGAATGGATAGATGGATAAATGATGGATGGAGAGAAAGATAATGGATGAATAGATGGTTGATGGATGGATGCATAGATAGATGATAGATGAATGGATGGATAGATAAGATGATGGATGGATGACTGAATAGATAGATAAAAATGTTTCCACTTAAAGTGGGACTATGAAATCACTCATCTACTTTTACTTGAAATGGAGCTTTGTAGACAGTAGATTTGTAGGAAATTTCATACACAAAAATGGCTTTGTGTGATACAGCCATTTGCAAAGACCAAAATGGTGCCTGTGGCCTTTATCCATGGGCCACTGACCAATACTGCTCATCTCCCAGTACTAGAGGAGCTGGGACCTCAGTGTGACAGGTGTTTTAGACTCAGTTCCTCGGGGACACAGGTGAGAGGATTAGCTGTGCTCAAGGGTACTGGGACATTCCAAAGCCACCTGCCATGCCAGCATCTAGTGACCTTTCTACAAATGAAGGAGAATATGCTACGCCCGTGGGTAGCATCAGCCTTCTGCACAGAGTGTTTAGTAAAAAGCAGAGTTAATTCTCAATATGCAGATTAACTGAAGTGAATGCGGATTGCTATTGTCTTACTTGAATCTTCGGGGATGTTGAATTTTTCCTTGTCATCTTCCAAGAGCTCATTGACACTGGGCAGATTCAGGAATGTGTTGGAACTGCTCAGGAAAGATGCTTGGTCCTTGCAGAGCAGGCTCATCATAGACTGGAAAGAACCAAACGCTGAACTTCTGGCCTGGCCGTGTCGTGAAGCCTGAGAACACGAGACACACTGTAGTCATCACACAGCAACTCACAACAGCTCTCGCACAGATTCCTGGGGGTGTGGGCCTCCCTGTGACTGAGTGTACAAGCTACTCAGCAAGTGAGGGACAGAGGGTCTTTCCGTCTTTTCAGTCCCTGGGTTACCACTCAAATCACTGCCATGGTTTTTCTGGCTCACCTACCTGGCAGAAGAGGAACACACACACACACACACACACACACACACACACACACACTCACGTCCTTGTTTGTCAAGTAATAAACTATTAACCTGCAAAATAAAACTCAAACTAACCGGCAGTCTGAATGTGTGTTCATGCTGCCAAGTTACTCTGATCCTGATCGCTACCCAAAGCCCCAGCAGTGGAGTAGCTGGCTCTGCGCAGCTCCATGGACCCCGATGGCCCCCTCCTCACTCTGCACCTCCACCTCTGCGTGAACCCCATGGTTCTCCTCTTGTACTCCTGGTCAGTCCCATCCCAGACACAATGACTTTGAGCACAAACTAGTATCAAGCTGCGAACCTAATCCAAGTTTCTATTTGCATCTCCAGAAAATGATTTGTAATTTGTAAGCCAATTATTTATATGTAAATAAATGTCTTCAGGTTCTTGAAAGCAATTTGCTCTCTAAATTAAGTCAAACAGACCCTTGAAATCTCGTTTGTGCTCATAATTGAGTCAGTGATTTCTTACTTCATAGACAATGCTTGAAGGATCCCAACCCACGCATAGCTGGGATGCAGAGCAACAAGGTCTCCATCCAGTTCCTAGGGCAATCCCAGGCCTTACTCTGCCATGCTGTTGCCTCCAGAGACATCAAAGGGTTTTTCTCATCCCTGTATTTTGTTTTCCAATACAAAATTGAGATGATGGAAGAGAAATCAAGGCAAAGGGAGCAAATACAAAGAAAGAGCAAATTGGAACATTTCCCAGGGGCCACCAATCAAACACATACCTGCTCAAAGTCTGCCATATCTAGCAGAGAGTTAATTTTAAAGGCATGAAGAAATGCAGGAAGGTGTCTGAGGACGTGTTGGGCTTTGCTAAGTAGGGAGCTGAGGCTGGAGACCACATCCAGCAGGGAGCTGAGCAAGCCACTGACTTCGGAAGGGATCAGAGTCTTCCAGGGTGAAAAAAAACAAACACACATACAACATGAAATAACCAACACTGCATTTTTACCCTCTCAAGCACTTCTGAGCAGTGAAAACCTGCTTATTTGATTTCATTCTCTCTCAAACTTTAGAGATATTGTTGCTGTACTCTACAAAAATCCTCTCCATGAGAACAGATACAGCACTAATTTCTGGAGCACGTTAAGTTGAGCCAGTATTGTTAAAATGTAAACCAGAAATGAAAGCAATCCATGGTTAAAATTTAAATCATTTTCAAAACATTTCTTTGTATATTTGAGGTGACCATGATGGTTGAGCAGAGGCCCAAAATAAAACACTGCTTTTGAGTGAGCAATTTAGATTCATCTGCCGCTTCGCCTGCATCTATTAGACACACACCATCCCCTTGCTCCGGATCCAGTGAGATGTACAAGATAACCCTCATTTTGTGGACGGGGAAACTGAGCCCGCAGGGGATGAAAGGCTTCCTGAAGTCTCGGCTGGAATTAACACAGGCTCTTTACACACATCGCTGTCCGTGGAGCCGGGCTCACCCTACCCCTCCTGACACAGCTCATCCTGCTTAGGGTCTGCATGACGGTGAACGCCACGCAAGTCAAGACCTCTGTCCTGATCACTGATGTAGCTACCAGAGACAGAACAGAACTCGTCCAAAGCAGTTGTACAATAAATATGCTGGGTGAATGGATGAATTAGCAACTGTCTCCTCCTTCCGTAGGAAGGGAAACTCAGAGGACGTCTGTTCCCTCCACACGTCATTTGCCTGAAGAATTTTCAGTTTTCCAGACTGAAGTGAGAAGCCCAGTGATCATGGTTTGTTTTTTATGTTTGTTTGTTTGTTTTCGTACCAGGGATCGAACTGGGGACCTTGAGCTTGCAAGGCAGGCGCCAGAACCACTGAGCTAAATTGAATCCCCGGCCCAAACATGGCTTTCATTTTTGCTCATCACAGCATCTGTTCTTGGTGTGTGTGTGTGTGTGTGTGTGTGTGTGTGTGTGTGTGTCTGTGTTTTCTAACCTTCCCCCCTGGGTTCTTGGTGGGAAGGAGGTCATGGGTGGTGGGTCAGCAAAGCTACCTTCCCTGACCCCAAGGCTCCCTGGGGAAGTGGAGGGACCACAGCCACCTCATCATGCTGTAGCCCGGATGTTGTGAAATGTGTCCCTAAGGAGGACCCTGGGGCAAGACCAGTCCCCAAGGCCAGGGAATGAGGCTCCCAGAGAGGCAGGTAGAGATTCAAACAGGGGAGCCCTGAAGGAGGACCATGGAGAAGGGGCCCCATGAGAGCCAGAGAGCATGCTGGGAGCTGGGCTGCCCCATGGACCTCTGGGAAGCACCCTCACCCTCCTTGTCCCTCCTCCCTCCCCCAGCCCTCCCCACTCCCGCCACTGTGTGTGAGATGCTGTGGAGTGGTGAGCTGGGAATGTCCCCACTGGCCACATCCCAGGGCAGCCCACAGAGCTAGACACGTCACACTGGAGGGACAGAGGCCAGCCAGGCTGCTGCAGCCACAGACAAGGCGTGGGTCACAGGGGCAGGGACACCTCCTGACCTGCAGCTCCAGCATAGACCAAACCCCCTGCCACGGGCCCTTCCTTGCCAGTGCCAGAAGTTTGAGCCCAACCCAGGCAACAGTGATGTAACTGGACCCTGTCTCAAAGCAAAATGTAAAAAAGACAGGGATGCAGCTCAGTGCAAAGGCCCTGGGTTCAATCCCCAGAACCACCCAAAAAAACTGTATCTGTGCTGAGCATGTAGAGATGTGGTTTTTTCTTTTTTTTTTTTTTTTTTTGCCACTATTCTCTAAATAACAGTGCAACTGTCCGCCGGGCAAGTATTGGGTCTTAGGCGTGGCAGACAATCTAGAGAAAGTGTAAAACACACAGGAAGATGTGCAAGGGGTCTCTGCACACACCAGGCCACTTTGGATAAGGACCTTGAGCATCCCCGCTTTACATCCCAAGTGGGGTCCCAGAACGTGTCCCCTTGCATACGGACAACTGCCCAGCCCCTGTGCACCCCTGGCCACTGTCACAAAGCAGCTCCTCTGCCACCATGACGTGCTCCTGTGGCCACCCACCCCTCACCTTGTAGACCAAAGCTCGCAGATCCAGGTTCTGGCTCAGGACCACAATCAGGAGAAACACTTTGGACCCAGGAAGCCCACAGAGCTCCCTGGTCGCAAGCCTGGATTGTTCATCCTTGGGAAAGGTCAGCAGGAGATGGAGGAGTTCCTGGTCACACTTTCCAGACAGAGCCACTGTGAGGGCACTGGGGAGCACCTGTGTCAAAACACGAGGATCAGAGTGAACACCCCTGGAGCACTGGACGTGTCAGCCCCTGGCCTTACTTCCTAGAGGAGGACAAGGTCCAGGAGTCGCATTCCCAGTGAGCTGAAGGCATGTGAGTAGCCTGTGTTCGTCAGCCTCCTGTCACTGTGACAAAATCCTCAGGAAAACAATGATGAGGGAAGGTCCACCTGGCTCAGAGTTTCAGACAGTTCAGTCCATGGTCAGTTGGTCACTGACTCTGGGATGTAGTGAGACAAAGTGTGGTGGGAGCAGATGAGGGGATGGAGGAGCATGTGGTGAGATCATGGAGGGGCTGCCATCCCTGTGTCCCCTTCAAGGGCACCACTACCCCAGTGACCCAGCCTCCCCAGCCCCACTTCTTCAAGGCACCAGCACCTCCCCATAGCCCATAGGCTGGGGAACAAGCCTTACCACAGGGGCATCTGGGGGACACTCAGATCCAAGCCATACACGGCCCAGGTCTCTGGGCTCTTGTCAACACTGCTGTGGGTACAACTGAGGTGGACCTCAAGAGACTTGTGTGCTGAGGCTAGGTCTTTGGAAGGTGACTGGATTATAGAGGCGCTATAGCTGAATGTGCTTGCAGGAGCTGGGGTTTGGTGGGAAGAGGCGGTCACTGGGGGTGGCCTGGAGCGGTACAGCTTCCTCCCTAGCTCCTTCCTTCCCTCTGCTTCCTGGCCACCATGCAGTGAGCTGCTCTCTTCCACCAGACCCTTCCACCACGATGTTTCTGCGTTGGAGCCAGCCATGCAACTGAAAGTTCTCAAAATGGTGAACCCAAATAAATCTCTCCTCTTTAAGTTGTGTATTTTGGGTATTTTGTCTCAGAGACAATAAAAGTGACTCAGACAAACATTTTTCAAGAAAATGCTTCTGACATCGTGCATCATCCTCAGACTTCTTACACACCAAGCTGGCCCTGGTTTGTGGGCATGGAGCCCTCACAACAGTTCCCTCCTCTCTGCACCCCTGCCACTCACTCCAGCCACTCCCAACCCTGCCCTCCTGGTGAGCCTTGGGGCCTTGTGTGTCTGATGTTAAGTCTCACCCTTTGCTTTCAGCTCATCCACTTCTACTTTCCACTGTTAACAATGTGAAGCTGACATTTTTGCCTCCTCCGCATCTGAGTTGAAAGCAAAAACTGGCAACCTTGTTAAATTTTTTTGAAAAGAAAAGGCAAGCTGGGTGTAGTGGTGCAAACCTGTAATCCCAGCATGCTGGGAGACTGAGGCAGGTGGATCACAAGTTTGAGTTCTACCTGGGCAACTTAGTGAGACTCTCAAAATAAAAAGGGCAGAGGATGTAGCTCAGTGCAAAGGGCTTAGGTCTAATCCTCAGGGAGAGAGGAGGAGGGAAAGAGAGACAGAGAGAGAGAGGACACAAGAGCAAGAGCACAGATCAATCCAGAAGGAGACACAGCACAAACTGTATCAGTGCCAGCTTGTTAGAATTACACCCCAGAGTCCAGGGCTCCGAGGTGCCTCTTCATTTGGGCATATCTCATAGT